TCCCTCCCATTTCTTACATTGAAAATCGACTTCAGGCTAACAGTGTTGTTATTTGGTTTGTGATGTATTACTCGCCACCCGCTTACCCAGTAAGACGTCTAGAGTGTGAGATAATGTGCGGGGTGGTACATATCCATGTTACATTCCCGAACACTTTACAACATTGTCGGTGGATCAAAGGTCGGTAGGCCAGCAGTTTGAACACTCTGGCAAGTTGATCAGCTCGTTCATTGTCGCAGACCCCTTCATAGCTAGACCGGAAGAACCATGGCTGTGACTTTCTTCAATCTGCTTCCACGAATATAAGTAGTCAAATCAGAGTCAGGAACAATAATATTTTACAGCGTATGGGTAGAGAGATGCACAGCAAACCATGATTGTAGAGGTCTGCTTGGGACCTGGCACTTAAAGATGAAGTCAGAGTCTGCATATAGACGCCCGCTTCTTGCCTTCTAAAGAGTCAACATGAAGGCAGTTGCTAACAGGGGATGTCAAAGGCCTTATAGTCTGCAAATCAAGTGCTTCTGAAATGACCTTCACCTTCATGATCAAAGTCGACGTAGTGCAGTCAGAGGCCGCGTGTGCTTCTTAAATCACCTGGCCATTGATTACTGATTACAGCGCTTATCGTCCATCCAGTCTTGATTCATTTTACCATCGATCCGTAGGTTTAAACAACTCCATCTTCCTGCCTGGTGCTCTCATCAGTGCTGACGGAATGATCAATCATTATTAACCCCAGGGCACAGGCGTCTGTGGTGTAGTGGTAAGGCGCGTTGGCGTCGCAAGCAGAGACCCGAATTCGATTCTCCCATTGGGAGTATTTTCGTGGAGTATATCGGCCTTTGTGCTGGGACATTGCACCCCTCTCATCCCTAACAGACAGGATTGAAACCAGGCTCTTAAATAATCTAAATTGCATCGATGGCATTGCCTATTCATGATGTCTTCTAATGTCCTCAACCTCGCAGCATTCACCAATCGTGGCAGTAGTCCAAGCTGTCCGCTATGTTTGACTTGAGAACTTCTAAATTTCATCTATGAGAAAGACCCTATAATATAGGCAGTGAAAATGAAAGTCATATGAGTTTGTGCCGTTTTAATCTGAAGGAATAGTCTGATTTCCATTGACGTATTTAGTAATTATTGTGTGTGGGGGGGGGATTATCAAATGATGAAGCCAAACAACGACGAGTAGTTTTCAAGAAAGCTGCACATTATAAGATCATGTATTAGAGTAGAGGAAAGAGAAAAACAACAACAATTCAGCTGAACATTCTCTATGTCATTTTCTCGGGACAAAAGTAAACAGGTCTTTTATACCGTCTCTATTAATAGCCAGGGGTCAAGCTGAAGCAGGGAAATGACAGGTTCATTTTAAATGACAGATGTGTTGCGTATTCTATAGCAGCAATTTTTTTCTTTTTTTTTAAGAAGTCCTACTGGCATTAAAAAAATTTAGTGTTTGACTTTTTAGTAAACATTTGTCTGTAACTTTATGTCATCCTTTTCAAAAGACATTTTAAAAAAACAAAATTTCTACTTTGTTCTGTTTTGTTTTGTGCGTGTGTTTTAGTTAGAGTGTTTGGTTGTTTTGTTGAGTTTTGTTGGGGGTTGTTTTGGGTTTGTTTTTGTTGTTGTTTTTTGGGGGGGAGGGGCAATAGTGGGTTTGGAGCAGTTTTCTGTGTGGGGGGGGGGTATCTTCATTTGGCTTGGGGAACTTGGTTGTTTGTTCCTTTCTTTTATTGTCTATTTGTTTATTAGTTTGTTTGGGTTATTTGAGGGGGGGGGCTGCCAGCAGAATCGAAGGACAGATGGCACTGCTAAAAACCCGTGTGCTGTGTAACATGTTCGTCAGTTTGTTTTACACTCAGGTTTTAGTCCTAGTATATAAACGTGTTCAAACGACTGAAATCTAATGTGTTCTTTATTCCCGCTTTAAAATGGGTATCTTTCAAGGTAAAATTGAAACTGAACCAGGCACCACGTGAGGCTCTCCCTGAGAACTATGAAAATCTAGGAGAAAGATCAGTTTGAAAATGTATTGATTGATACCAAAACCTCAAATTAGTCTTTTACCTATTCATCTCAACACTTATCAATAGTGTTTATTTTTTAAATTTACTTGTCTATGAATACGTCTAGGACAGTCTCAAAATTAAAGGGGACCTACTATGTTTGTAATCCTCTTACGTTCTCTTGTTGAAAGTATTTACGGATAGATTGTACACAAGGTATTCTGTTCCAGTTTGAAGCCCAATTCTATCGATTTTGGACCACCAAACAATCTTTAATGTGCGCAACATCCTCCGAGATATTTTGCCCTTATCCAAGAAGGCTAGGTGTGGATCTTACAAACCAGAAGATCAGGGGTGTGGCTGAAAGACAGCAGTAAGAAGGAGCCAAGGAGTAGCAATAGAAAGACTGCAGAAAGAGTCAGGAGCCGAGAGGAGGGGGCAAAGGAGGTGAGGGGGTGGGGCAGAAAGTGAAGACGAAAGCAGACGACAAAACATTGTTAGAGAGCTTGAAAGGATGTGAAAAGAGAAAAATCTTGGGAGAAGAAAATTCTCCTTCGCTATCCGGATTCGAACCCGGGACCTATTAAATAAGAGGCGAACACCTTAACACCTACACCACCCTGTTCTGTAAATTTTTTACAAATTATTTTACAGACATGAATTTATGCACCTACGTTTACCTTAATTTCTTCTCCAAAATCAAAGGACTAAGGGGGCAACAATTTGAATACGAGGAAGAAATTGTGCTCAAAACAATAAATTCTGAGCTAAGGACTCTGGCCGAAGCGGACATGGTCACTGCTTTTGACCGTTGGCTACATCGGGTGAAAATGTGCAATGAGACCAACGGTTGTTGTGTTGAATAGAAATATGCGTCTGTAGGTATGTATAAACTGTTATATCTGTAAAATAAAAATTGCTGATTTAAAAAACAAACAAACAGGGAAACTTACTTTGGGACATACCTCGTAAATATACATACTGATGGACAGAACAAAGGAAAGAAACAACATCCCCTTAATCAAGACAATGAGGTTCAATATTAAATACAAATGAAGAAAGGGGAGAAATCTGCTTAACCTGAAGGTGTTGACGGGGGTGGTGTATCTATAGTTTCATATAGAGAAGCCCATTGATGCCACAAGGAATGAACCGGCGTCTGTGGTGTAGCAGTGCGGTGCTTTACCCCCGCACGCAGAAGGCTTGAGTTAAATCCCCAATTGGGGAGAAGTTTTCCCGGGTACATGTTTACCTCTCAGCCTGGGGTGGCCACCGTGGCCCTCACACTAGACAGGCAAGGTCGAAGCCTGCGTCCTAGATGATGTAAACTGTGTCAATGGGGCGCAATGTTAAACAGCTTCATAAAACGCGTCATACTAATTATTTATTACTACAGGTAATAAAGTGATAGACAAACAGAAACAAACAAACAAAAATAGATCCAGGGCCTACCAGAGGAGCCTTCCGAGCAAAACACAAACAGCAAAGTTTCAAAATGTGATTTACAATAAATGGAACAAAAACATGTCATACACGAAACGAAAAAGCGTAGAAGAGAAACGCAGACAAATTGCATATGAATTAATGGATTTACTGTAATAGCAAGGCACTTGTACTGTTACAATTACTACTGGTGAGTAAACAGAGCCTTTACTCAAGACCTGTACTAGAGCAGTGCATACAAATGCTGGACTTACATAAAGTGTGAATAACTAAAAAAGGTGGAATAATACAAGTCTGCTTAAAAATTGTATATAGCTTTAAAAATCTTACAGTGTGGACGGAATACATTATTTAGTACTGGTATTTGTAATTCTAAAAACAATAACAACAACAAGTTAACGGCTAGATCTAAATGAACTAAGACTTGTGCGTTTCCCTCGTAACGTTTGTGTTGTTTCTTTTTTTCTTCTGAAAACAGCACAACAGACCTCTCATCCTATGATGATAACCAACAAGTTTCTTGTCTCAAGAGGTATTGTGTGATCATGTTCCAGAATCGGGACATTCTTGATAACCAGGAAAGATGAATGTCTTCTCCCTGCAGGCCCTAACCCTAAACCAGATGCAACCGGCTACTGTGGCAGAAGTTCGAAATAAAACTCATACACGCAAAATTCAGAAACAAGTGGAAGATCACGTGATAAATTTAAGGATCTGCTGCTGAAAGGTTGAACGGGCATAAGGGCCTCGCAATTACCTCCTCACATAAGTCAAAAAAAAGCGAAAAGTGAAGGGGATAAAACGGTACGTTCAAAGACATTCTTGAAAACGGCGTGCGATTGGAATAGGAAAGAAAACGAGACAAAATTGATAGTGGTTAGCTTTAAAGATGGTCTGGAAATTGATCGACAGAACCACAAAGAGTATCAGAGAGAAACCGGCGGGGACAGAAGTGGGGGAGAGA